ACTGCCACAAACCCCACAGGTGTTTACAGCCAGAGGTTTTGAGGCTTTCTTTTCCCCTGCTGGAACCCTGAGTTGCCCGGCTTGTCTTGTTCCCCAGTTGTTCTTCCCAGTTTATCCACACACAAATGTGGGACTGCCAGCGGCGACCTCACCTGCCTAGTCCTCCAGCTGCTGCTTTGCCTCGTGTCCTCTCTGCCAGCTGTCTGTCTCTGCCTCTCTTACCAGTCCGGATGAATGTTTCTTCTTTAATTCCTTGGTTGTCGGACTTCCATACAGTTCGATTTTTTGGCAGTTCTGGTTGTTTTTTGTTTTTAAATTTGTTGTTGTCCTTCTTTTTGTTGTGCGAGGAGGCAAAATGTATCTACCTATGCGTCCACCTTGGCCGGAGGTTATGGGGGACTCCCTCCTGTAGAGTCCTCTGATTCACCGCGGTGAAATAATGAGTCCTTCCTGACACCGACTGCCTGTCAAGGAAAGGCGAAGATCATTCTCTCTAGAGGAGAACGCCCTGAGCTCCTGTGCTCAATGGCTTTTATTGAGAAGATTATGGGTGGAGTATAGGTAGCAGGAATGTATAGGTAATCTAATTACATCAGTGGTTTAAGCTTACAGAGAAAAGATGGTATAAGATTAACAGAGCTTGAGGGAGAAACAAAGCCTGCTTCATGGAGTGTAATTTACTTCTAAGTCTGATTTCCCCCAGAGGCCCTTGCAGTCAGTATCAGGTCTTGCCTGCCTCCGGCTTTCCCGGTGTTCTAGCCAAGACTTACAGGTCCTTTCCCAGGCCCCAGCTTGTGTGGAGCTACAGTTCCCGATACGACTCCAAGTGGCCCCCTACAGGAAGTTTTTACTGGGTGATTTTCTAACAGGGAAGTAAGGTCAGAGGGGACAAATAACCCAGCAGTTTTGTGCAAATAATTGTCCCCTAACAGACCCCTGTTACTGTAGTTTTTAAAACAGTATAACTCAGGTTCCAAAGATTGACAAGACAAAGGACAAAGAATGCAGTAGTACCGCGGGCCATCCCTCCTGGTGGTCTTTTGATAGATGATTGTTTATAATCGATGCTATTACCAATTCGATAGTTACCTGAGTTGTCATGCCATTCCAGCTGTTACTAACAAAAATACATGTATTTGTAGCTAAGTTTTAAGGAACACAGATAATCAATCATCAACTAACGGGCTTTGATATACTTGCTAAGGACAGTGAGGTTGGTCAAATCACAACATAAAGCCTAAAAATGAAATAAAACCCGGGACCCAACAATGGAGTTGGTTTTGTTCACATCTACATCTGTACACATAGAGCCAAGTTTTACAAACAGCCTGAGGGGGAAACACGTGTCCTTAGGCCTCCCAAATTCCCTGTCAAGTGTCTGATTCTGGCTCTGTTACCCAGTAGTGTTTCTCTGTTGGTGCAAAGCCCAGATTCTCAGCCTCCTGCTCCCTCCCAGAATCAGCAAATGTCCTGGTAAACGGAGCTGCAGAAGGCAGCTTGCTTTTCGGAGATACTGAGCAATTACAGCTGTCCACAGGCCAGTCTTGCAGTTTCTTTTATAATAAAATTCTTTCAAACACTTAGTGAGTTTTTGGTCTCTTTGATTTTAGTCAGTTCCATGTACTAATTGCACACCTAAAGAGCTCTTCTGTTTATAATTTTAAACATTCAGATTTTTCTTTGTCTTTCTTTCTTTCTGTTATGCAAAAATTTAAACTATCCAAATATGGAGAGAATGTATAATGAACCCCAAGGTATCCACCAACCAGGTTCAATACTTATCAATATACGTCTATCTCACTTTACCTATGTTCCCCTTACTTTACCTTAGATTTGATTATTTTAAAGCAAATCCCAGGCATAATAATTAATCTTTAAGCACTTCGGTATATATCTCCAAGAGATAAAGATAATTAAAAATAATGAAATACCATTATCATACCTAAAAATTAGCAATAATTTTCAATATTACCAAGTATCTAGTCAGTGTGCCAAGTTGTCCAATGGTCTCATAATTTTAAAACATTTTCAATCAGGATTAAAACAAAGTTCACATGTTTCATTTGATCAATATGTTTCAAGTCTCTTTTAGTTTGAAGTTTTAATTTTCTTTTTTCCTTTGTGATTTTTCAAACAAGTTTATTCAGCTAAAACTCATATACCATATAATCCACCCATTTAAAGTGTACAATTCAATGGTTCTTCGTATGTTCACAGAATTGCACAAATGCCACCACCACAATCCATGTTAAGACATTTTCTTTGCCCCCAAAAGAAACCCCACACTTGTTATCAGTGACTCTTTTTTTAAAAGATTTTATTTATTTATTTTTAGAGAGCAGCAGGGAGGGAGAGAGGGAGAGAAACATCAATGTGTGGATGCCTCTTGAGGGTCCCCTACTGGGACCTGGCCCACAACCCAGGCATGTGCTCTGAGTGGGAATCGAACTGGCCACCCTTTGGTTTGCAGGCCGGCTCTCAATCCACTGAGCCACACCAGCCAGGGTTGTTATCAGTCACTTTTATTTCCCTCTTCTTGTAGCCCCTGGGAACCACTACCCTACCTTCAGTCTCATATTTTTGCCTATTCTTGGTATTTTATATACACAAAATCATACAATATGTGGTCTTTTGTGACTGGTTTACTTAACACAGTGTCTTCAGGGTTCATCCAGGTTGTAACACTGGTCATTATTTCCTTTCTTGCAATTTGTATTTTGAAAAAAAAGGTCATTTTTCTTGCAGCTTTCACATTCTGAATTTTGCTGACTGCATCCCTGTAGGGCCTGTTAATGTATTCCTCTGTTCCATGTTTATCCTGTAAATTAGTAATTAAAACTAGAAACGTGATCAAATTTTCGATGCTGTTTTTTGGCAACACAATTTGCAGATGATGCAGTGAGCCTACGTTAGGTGTCTATAGGCCATTGCTAGCTTCTGTGATAACCTCGTTTTTAAACTTTATTTATCTTTTATCTTCATCTGAGGACATGCTAATTAATTTTAGAGAGAGGGGAAGAGAGGAGGAGAGAGAAACTTCGATGTGAGAGAGAAACATTGATTGGTTGCCTCCCATATGTGCTGTGACTGGGGATCATACCTGTAAGCTAGGTGTGTGACCTGACCAGAAATTGAACCTGAGACCTTTCTGTTTGCAAGACGATGCTCCAACCAACTGAGCCACACTGACCAGGATTCACCTTGTTTTTATAACAACTATTGAGGCCATTGGAAACAACAGTATTGTGTGGAACATTCACATATAAAATCAGGCCTTTGCTACTGATCTGATACCTTTTCTCTTTTCAGGCCACGAAATTTTAGTGGTGATGCTCCAAAAGGCTTTGAGCCTGTCACTTGCTGTTTGGGGGCATGTGAACAGTGACTTTGTCAACCCATAATAGCCTAAACTTCTGGACTCATAATAAATTTAGATTTCAGCCTAAAGCAGGAAAATGCCTCTTCCTTTTGCTGAATTCTGCTTCTGTCCATCTGTTTGCAAAGTGTCCGATTGTTGCCTGGGATCACTTCTGACGTACGATTTGCCAAAAGCAGCAGGAAGCAGCCATCATACACCCTGTATCCTGCTCTTTAAAAACTATTTTCCCACAGACATATAAATCAATAGAATAGAAATAAAAGTCAGAAACAAATGCTCACATTAATGGTCAACTGATTTTTGACAAGAGTTTCAGGACAATTCGCTGGAGGTAGGAGAACTCTTTTCAACGCATGGTCCTGGGATAATTGAATACTCAAATGCAAAAGAATGAAGCACCCGGCACCTCACATCATATACAAAAATTAACTCAACATAATCAAAGACCTAACTGTAGGAGCTAAAACCATAAGTCTCTTAGAAAAAAATAGGAGTAAGTCATCAGGGCCTTGGACGTGGCGATCAATGGGCAAGATTTCTTAAATTTGTCACCAAAAGCACAAGCAACCAATGAAAAAGATAGATAAACTGGGCATCATCAAAAATTTTAAAACCTTTATGCTTCAAAGGACACCATAAAGTGAAGAGACAACACACAGAATGGGAGAGAATATTTGTATATTGTATATTTGGTATGAGTCTAGTATCTAGAATATATAGAGAACTCATAGCTCAACCACAAAAAGAGAACTATTTCAATTTTAAAATGGAAAAAGGATCAGAATAGACAGTTATCCAAAGGAGACATACAAATGGCCAAGAAGCACATGAACTAAAAGCAGATAGTCACACAAAAATGAAAATTCACAGCCCCGTTATTTATAGTGTTCAAAGAGTGGCAACAACCTAAATGTCCCTTAACGGACGGATAAACAAAATGTGATATATCCACACAATAAAATATTATGCAGCTATAAAAAAGAGTGAAGCACTGAGCCATACTACACAACATGGATAAACCTTGAAAACGTTATGCTGAGTGAAGGAAGACAGACACAAATGACCACCTATTATATGATTTTATTTACATGAAATATCCAGAATTGCCAAGTCCATGGAGACAGAGAGTACATTAGAAGTTAGCAGGGATTGGAAGGAGGGGATAATTGGGAGTGACTACTAATGGGTATAGGATTTAAAAAAAAAATTTATTTATTTTTAGAGAGAGGGGAAGGGAGGGAGAAAGAGAGGGGGAGAAACAGCAATTGGTTGCCTCTTGTAAGGTTGCCTCTCGCATGCCCCCATCCGGGAACCTGGCCTGCAATCTAGGCCTGTGTCCTGACTGGGAATCCAACTGGCGACATTTCCGTTGGCAGGCAGACCCTCAATCCACAGAGCCACACCAGCCAGGGCTTTCTTCTTCTCCTTCTTCTCCTTCTTCTCCTCCTTCTCCTTCTCCTTCTCCTTCTTCGTCGTCGTCGTCTTCTTCTTCTTCTTCTTCTTCTTCTTCTTCTTCTTCTTCTTCTTCTCCTTCTTCTTCTCTTTCCTCTTCTTTCTCTTCTCCTTCTCCTTCTTCTCCTCCTTCTCCTCCTTCTTCTCCTCCTTCTCCTTCTGTTTTTGAATCATATAGGAGCAACCAGGGTGTTGCAAGTCCTGATTGCACAGAAATGCTAATCATGAGTCATGTGAACTCCAATTATCATGTCGCAATCTGCCCTCAAAAAGGAGGAACAGGTAAGTGTTATCCTACCTGACGATATAAAAGGTTTCTTTTGGGGGTGATGAGAATGTTCTGGAACTAGAGAGTGACGATGGATACACAACATTGTAAATGCAATTAATATTACTGAATTATAGATGTAAAATGGTTAAGATGGCAAATTTTATGTTACTCACATATTGCCACAACCCAAAACTATTTCTCAAATGTCCCCTAAGCCACGAACTTCATAAACACACGGACTGTCTTCCATGTTGCCATAGAAGTCATCACTGTTCTACCAAATGGTTTTACACAGCCTCAAAGGGCTCATTTACCTTGCAGTCTGCAGTCTCTGTTTGTTTTTTAATCCTCACTTGGAGAAATATTTATTGATTTTAGAGAGAGAGGAAGGGGGGGGGAGAGAGAGAGAGAGAAACATTGATTGATTGCCTCCTGCATGTGTCCTGACCAGATATTGACCCCGCACCCCAGGTATGTGCTGCGACTGGGAGGTGGATCTGCAGCCACGCGTTGGTGAGGGAGTGAGGCAACCAGGAGTGAAAAGAACAAAACCCCAGATACGGGACAATAGTGCAGAGCAATGAGATGAGTCAACATCCTGTAGTCCCCCATCCAAGGTATCTGGTGCTTCTGAGCATGAGGCAGGAGGCTGAGGGTCCTGGCAAAAGCGTTGGGCAGAAAAACCCTCCCAAAGGGCAGAGAAACCAGCAAAACTTTGGACACTTCATAGGGCTGGAGAGACAAAATTAGAGACTCCAAAGAGAAGGGTCCTGGTGAGAAAGGAGCGGTGAAAACCAGCCTAAGCGTTCTCCCTTTCAGACACCTTAGACCCTGCCTGAAGAAGTCACTGAGAAAGTGTGTTGCAGCCTCCGCAGGCTGGGCAGGTCCACCCGAGGCTCAGGTAGACGGAAGAAGATGCGTGGAGCTGTGGGGATGCTTGACGTGCCTTCATTCGGGAGACACACAGGCCACAAGCCTGTGTCTATGCTGGCACCCCAACTCCCCGCCTCGTCCAAAACTCCTATCCCTTAAGTACGAGCCCCAAACAAAGCCGGCTGCAGGCCAGAAAGTTAAGTAACTGTCCCGAGCGGCGCATGCGCGCCTACTCAAGGCTACGGGGCAGTTTATCGCACCCGGGCTCAAGGCCGCGAGATCCAGGCCCACGGCTGTAGGAACACTGCTTTATCAGCCTCCTTCAAGGTTGGGAGGAGCTGCTCCCTGCAGTTTCCCACGCACCTGGGTGAGGGAGCCAGACTACCTCCACTTCCCCTACAGAAAGGCTCTGAGAAGCAGACTGGAGTATTCAGCAGACTCATGATGCCAAGGAGCAAGGAGTGGCATTTAAGGGCTACCAGTGTCTTCCCTGGGGCCCCAGTTAATACTCCAGGCTACAGGCTGGAAATCCACAAACAAGCCTGAACTAGTTCTGCATGCAGCCCTTCCGGCCCAGGTTCAGCCCCTGTTTCTGACTGGGTTAAAATAATATTTCCCACTCTATTTGCATAGGAAAGAAAGTAATATTCTCCAGGGCCTGTACAATTTTTCATACACAATGTCTGGTATTCAATAACCAAGGATGCTCCCGGCAAGGCCAAATGACTGAAAATCAAGAGGGAAAAAATGGATAGTATGAAGAGACCATGGGTAATCCTGATATTGTTAGCAGACATGGACCACAAATCACTGTAATTAATATGCTCAAAACAAAAGAGGAAACATGCAGAGGTTAGAGGGAGGGATGGGTGATTTCAGCAAAGAGAAGGCAATTATAGAATAGACGAGTACCATAAATGAAATGAAGAATTCAGTACAGATATGTTCGGTACAAATATGTTCAGTACAGATTAGACACAGTAGACGATAGGATCAGTGACCCGGAATTCAGGCCACTAGAAAATATCCAGACTCAAGTGTAAATAAAGACTAGGAAAAAAAAAAAGAGTTTAAGACAGTGAGAAAATGTAACAAAATCTTGTGATTTAACTATGGTAACCTTTTTTGCTTTCTAGATGGTCTGGAGTGGGTAGACTCCTTTTCTTCGTGAGGCCATTTAGTGAATTAGTTTTGATATGTTCAACAAATGGCTTCTATCTTTAAATGTGCTCCTGTTGTAGTCATTGTTTCTCAGGTAGGAGAAAGGAAGAAGGAAGAAATCGAGGGCTAGCATCTTCATTTAAAAGGAGTTGTACTCATCACTTGAGTTGATAAGGGCCTAATTTAGGAACGCAGCCACACCTAATAGCTCCAGAAGGGAGGCTGGTAGATGTTTCTAGCTGGGCTACTGTGAGTATCTTATTACTAAGGGAAGGAGAGGGGAATGGATTTTAATGAACAGAAAGCACTTTCTGCCCGTTGGAATTGCTATGCAGAAGCTAGACATACGGGGCTTGTAGCCACAATAATAGGTGTGGGTTTGAGCCAGGGAGGGGAGAACCGAACGTTCTAACAGCAGACTCATGCTTATCCAGATTCGCAGCTTGCCCCTTGGGTCTCACATTTCCAGGTGTGGTGCTGGCGGTCAGATTCCAGAGGTGGCGTGTCTGTGGCGCAGTGGCTCTGGACTCCAGCGACTCTGATGTAAACTGCTGTGGGTCACAGCAGGTCTTTCACAGACCCACTCAGCGGTGCTGCTCTGTGAAGAGGGGCTTCTTTGTCATCCACAAGGACACAGAGAAGACCGAGGCTGAGGACTGCCAGAGCTACACTGCCTAAGTCTCTAGGTACACTCCTCGTGCTCTTACAGGGCCTAACAGCATATCCCTTCCAGGCCCTGCACTTCCTGTCTGCAGTCATCCTTAGAGTCTTTTTTTTTTTTTTTTAAAGACTTTATTTATTTATTTTTGCAGAGAGGGGAAGGGAGGGAGAAAGAGAGGGAAAGAAACATCCGTGTGTGGTTGCCTCGTGCATGCCCCCTACTGGGGGACCTGGCCCACAGCACAGGCCTGTGCCCTGACTGGGAATCGAACTGGTGACCCTTTGGTTCACAGGCCGGCACTCAGTCCACTGAGCCACACCAGCCAGGGCTCTGTCCTTGGACTCTTGTCACTGAGTGCACAAAGGGGTTTTGAGTCACAAGGCCTTAAAGGATCCCTTGATAGGGCATGCGGAGGTGTTGATTTGGACTATTGGTACCTGGAAACTTTTTATTCCTGCTTTCAGGTAACCAGAAAGAGCTTAAGACCCCCGAAAAGTAGGACTGCTGCTGTGATCCACCGAAAGCCCATCTTCCTCTCTCCCAGGGCTGCCTGGCCGGGGACTACATTTCCCAGCTTCCCTTGAAGTTAGCTATGGACACATGTCCGGTTCTTTCTTCCCTGATGCCATCCACACCTTTGGAGCTTGCAGCCAACAGCTTCAACCGTAGTTCTGATCAATGCAGCATCTAAGTGCTTGGATTTATTCTTTTTTAATTTCTCCAAGCAGATGAGCAATTCATCCCCATGCATACAACCCAGGTTATCTATTGACTGTTCTATTAATAGGAAGCCCATGCATCCTATACTCTTAAAAAATCCTTCTTTGAACTGTACCCAAAAGGTTTCTGGATTTGCCAGCTTTCCTGGGACACGGCATGCGAATATATAGTGGGTCCCTTCAGCCTTCTAACACGAAGGGGTCCTTCTGGAGTGCGGTTTCTTACTCTGTCAAATGTTATAGTGGAGTTAAGGGTGCAAACTCTTAGTGTTTCAGTTTCCACATTTATAAAATGGGTGTGATTTTGATGTCTCCCTCAGAGTTATACTGAAGATTAATTGATGCAGTAGCAGAAGCTCATGTTTACTAAGTTCTTAGTGTTATTTGTTTCTGTTCTCTATTGTTGCATTAAAAATAACGATCCCCCAGAATGTTATGGTTTAAGCTCTAACTATTTTATGATCTGTTATGATTTGGGGGCTTGACTGGGCTAAGCAGGACTTTTTTTCCTGCTTCATGGGATGTTGGTCGGAGCTATCCTTGTGTGGGGGCTTGAATGCGCTGGAACACCCAACACATGGTGGCAGTAGATGGTGACGTTGGCTGCGACTCCCTCCGGGAGTGCTGGCTGCAGCGCCCACAGTCTCTTGGGCTCCCAGCAAGCGGCAGTTTGCTCCGAGGGAGAGTCCCAAGGGCAGGTGTGACTTTTCTGGCAGTAAGCAGCAGCTGGCAGCCTCGATGCCACTTCTGCTTCCTTCCTGTAAATTCTACCTCTAGATGGGGATCTGCACTCATCTTGTTTAAAGAAAAACTATTTTTAATCCTCACCCGACAATATCTTTTCATTGCTTTTTAGAGAGGAGGGGAGAGGGGACCGGAGAGAGAGAAACATCACTGTGAGAGAGAAGCATCGATTGGTTGCTTCCCGCATGCGCTTAGACCGGAGACCGACTGTACACATCAGGACCAGGGACCGCACCTGCAACTGAGGTATGTGCCCTGATGGAGAATCGAACCCACAATCCTTCAGTTATGGGATGATACTCTAACCAACTGAGCCACACAGGCCAGGGGTTATCTTTTTTTTTAAAAAAAAAAAAGATTTTTAAAATGTATTTTTAGAGAGAGGAGAAGGGAGAAAGAAAGGGAGAGAAACACTGATGCGCGAGAGGAAACATCAACAGGTTGCCACTCACGCACCTCTAACCTGGACCACCAACCCAGACATATGCCCTGACCAGGAATTGAACTGGTGACCTTTCGGTTTGTGGGACAATGCTCAGCCCACTGAGCTACACCAGTTAGGGGCACCTGCATGTATCTTTAATTATTTTATTGCTCTAGTAACTTGACACCCATTCATTTAATCAATCCTCAGACAACCTCATGGTGTTGGCACTGTGGACGAGACAGCGGCTCCATAATAAACCTGGTAAGTCCAGTGACCAAAACAGCATCACAGGGTGATCGGATCATAAATTCCTGGCTGGGCAGGTTATGGTGGGTAGTCACCCCCCCAAGGTATATCACTTCCTTGGAAAAGGTCTATCTTGGCCATAAGCAAGCCCTGCCCATTGTTCTTGCGCGTCCAGGCGAACTCGCTTTGGAAATTGCCAGAGC